TGCCTGATGTTCTTCTTGATGAGGGCTCGTAAGAGTGTTCCAAGGGTGCGGTTGGTGACCTCGGTTTGGCCATCGGTTTGTGGATGGCTTGACGTACTAAACTTCAGTTTAGTACCCAACTTTCTCCATAGGGTCATCCAAAAATGGCTAAGGAATTTTGTGTCCCTATCCGAGACCATGCTTCGGGGAACGTCATGGAGTTTGACTATCTCCCGGAAATAGAGATCAACAACTTGGGAAGCATCATAGGTGGTGAGACATGGTACAAAGTGGGCCATCTTTGAAAACCGGTCCACGACGACCATGATGGAATCTTTGCCTCGTTGTGTCCTCGGCAGTCCGGTGATGAAGTCCAAGCTGATATCTTCCCATGGAGCAAGGGGAACGGGTAAGGGCAAATGCTTTCCTTGGGGCAGCGACTGACTTTTGGCGAGGTGGCACGTGTTGCATCGCTTGATGAAGTGCTCCACGTCTCGTTCCATCCTTGGCCAGTGGTAGTGTTCCTTCATCATCATGTGAGTCTTATCGACCCCATAATGACCAGCTAGGCCTCCTCCATGAACTTCATCAATAAGGGTTTCTCGAACGCTGCATTTCGGGATGCAAAGTTGGTTGCCTCAGAATAGAAAACCATCCTTGATTAGGAATTCTCCATGTGGCCGAATAAGGCACTTGGAATAAGTGTCCTTGAAGTCTTCATCCTCTTTGTAAAGCTCCTGCAAAACTTCAAAACCAACAAGTTTGGTACTAAGTACCGTTAGTAATAAATGCCTTCGGGACAAGGCATCGGCGCCCTTGTTCATGGTTCCGTTCTTGTGTTTGATGGTGAAGGTGAAGGTTTGGATATACTCGACCCATTTAGCATGCCGAGGTCGGAGTTTATGTTGCCCTTGGATGTATTTTAGAGCCTCATGGTCGGAATGTAAGATGAATTCCTTGCTCACGAGATAATGGCGCCAATGTTCAAGTGACCGCACCAATGCGTAGAACTCCTTGTCGTATGTGGAATACCTCCTTCTTGTGTCATTTAGCTTCTCGCTGAAGTACGACACCGGGTGCCCTTCTTGGGATAAGACAGCCCCGATTCCAACTCCCGAGGCATCACACTCGACCTCGAATAGTTTGTCAAAACTAGGAAGGGCTAACACGGGGGCATGTGTTAACCGCTCCTTGATTGTTTCAAAGGCCTGTTGGGCCTTGGAGTTCCACTCGAATTTATGATTTTTTGTCAAATCCGTGATAGGTGCCGTGATGGTGCTAAAATCCTTCACAAATCTCCGGTAGAAAGAGGCCAGACCATGAAAACTCCGAACTTGTTGCATAGTGGTGGGGGTCGGCCATTCTCTAATGGCTTGTGTCTTCTTTTCGTCCACCCGTATGCCTTCACTTGAAATAAAGTATCCCAAGAACTCCGTTTCTTGTGAAAAGAATTGACTCTTTTCGAGGTTGCCGTAGAGTTTCTCCTTGTCCAACTTCTTAACCACCAAAGTGAGGTGATTAGCATGATCTTCTTCATTTTTGCTATAAATCAGAATGTCGTCAAAGTAGACAACGACAAAATGACCTATAAACGGCTTCAAGACCTGATTCATAAGCCGCATGAACGTGCTCGGGGCATTGGTNATGTGTGTTTACAATGCTCAGGGATGAGCTTATATAGGCATAGAAAAGGGAGACTACCAAGTCTCTTATTCACACAAATTAAAGAAATTAATGGCCACTTGTTGATGTTCCTTTAGTGGGAAAAACACAGGGATTATTGTACTTGTAGGGCAGGATTTTGGCTATTAGTGGTGGGAGGGAATATGTGAATATAATTCACAATTGATTGGCTTAGGTGGGGTTGTTTTGGGTAGGAGAAAAAGGGTGGGGTAGCAGGTTATTTGGAGGTATTTCCTGGGCTGGATATGGGTAAAAACATGGGGAATTGAAGGGTGTGGGTGTGGGTCAAGGTGTCTTGGATTTTATGGCTGTTTGTTTAGCCAAGTTGAGGTGTAAAGGAGTGGTATTGGCAGAGTTGTGGCATGAGGTTTTGGCCAGGGATGGAGGAAAATTAAATGTAGTTTTGGGTTTATTATTTTGGATATTTTGGGGTTTGTATTGGATGAGAATGGCTGGGCCTTTTAAGTTGGAGTTGGGCTCAGGGAAATTATGGCTATGTGGCGGGTTTTAGGATTGATAAGTTCGGTCCAAAAGGAATCATAATACTTAGCCATTATTCCGTTAATTTGTTTAACGACTTTAGAGTCGTTGGTAGTCGCCCGGGGTATATCACAAAATATTTATTATGAAGATGTTTCTAGAACTTATTTGACTTATTCGTGACAATTTTTAGCTTATAAACTCTTTATAAGTTATACTCCCTCCGTCCGGAAATGATGTTCCCACTTTGAATTTTCCTCATTTTTAAGAGGCATTGACTAATGGTTTGAAAGGACTAAAATGCCCTTGCACTTTGAGGCTCACTACAGCCCACCTCCCACTAGCACCCCACTGCCAGCCTGCCCACCTCCAGTGACACCCACCGCCGTCAGCCCCACCTCTCACCACCGTCGCCAGCCCACCACCACCCCACCTCCTACTGCCGCCGTCAGTCTTATCATCTCCGCCAGTCCCCACCTCCATCTCCCACAAACGCAAACAACGCCAGAGAGAGAAAAGGGAAAGAAAGAAAAAAGTGGAGGAAACGATAGATCTAAAAGATAAATCTAAAAGAAAGAATTAGAGGAAAGAAAAGGAGAAGTGCAGATCTAGACTCGCCATCACAGCTACCGCCGCCGACACTGCCGCCGTCACCCTCGCCGCCACTGCCGCCACCGCCGCCGCTATACACAGATCAAGAAGAAAGGTGGAGGAGAAAGAAGAAGGGGGGATAAAGAAGAAAGAAAATGAGGGAGAAAGAGGAGGAAGAGGATGAGAGAAGAGGAGGTAGAAGAGGAGGAAGGTGACGGGTTGGAAAAGAAAGAAGGGAAGAAAGGAAGAAAGGAAAGGGAAAAAAAATGGCTGAAGAAGGAAACAAAGGAAGGGTAAAAAGAAAGGAAGAAAAGAAGAAAGGAAAATGAGGATAATTTTGAAAGAATAGAGAAAAAAAGGTAGAATGGGAACATCATTTTCGGACGGAAATAAACAAAAAACATCATTCCCGGACGGAGGTAGTATATTTTTTCGTGGAATAAAATAACTTAAATAACAAATAAATCATTTTTAAGTATTTATGATGAGAAATATTTTGTAAATAATCTTGTCAAAACAAAGTTTCGAGAAAACTAACTTAAAAATAAGTAATTAAGACTACTTATTTTTTCTAACTTATAAGCACATAGAAAACATGTCATCAACGACTCATAAACTAAAAATAACTTAAACGCATAGAGAAACTACGTTCGCCAAACAACACTTAGAGTTAACAAGTGCTAAAACTGCTAAACACCACACCCTTTGACCTTCAAATTATACTTCGTACAAACATCTCATTACATTAAATGTTCGTGTGCTGAAATTCTGAAAACATAGCTCAACAGGTATCCTTTGGCATTCATCAGATATAATGCCAATCAATATTTCAATATAAATAAAAACAGCTAAATCATAATCCTTTTTTTTCAAAAACAGATTAACAATAACAATAACTTCTTTCATCAAATAAGAAAATGTCAAACCAAAGCCACAGGAGCAAACACACTTACCAGAACAAAAGAACCTTAAAAAAGAGACTCAAAAAGACTCGCCCGGGATGGAATGGAAATCTCCCCCAAACTCTCCAAAAGCTACTAATATTGCCTTACCATTTGACCCGACTCATCGTATGTTCCTACCCAATGGGTTTAGAACGATGTGACACAACAAACCTCGCCAAGTTGAAAAGATAACATAACGGTCGTTTTTCTTTCTAAGTAGATGTCTTACCATCACCTGCATCTTCAGTCGCATCCCTCTTCGCAGTCTCCTCATTTTTCTCGTCATTCTTTTTGTCCTCATTCTTCTCGTCATCCTTTTTGTCCTCATTTTTCTCGTCATCATTCTTGTCTTCAACGCTCAACTTCTCAAGCAGTCCAGCAGCATCAGATGCATCTTTGTTTTCCTCTTTCTTAGTCTGAGATTCAGCAACCTCTTTGAATGTCTCCCTGAAGGTCTTGCAATCTAGAAAGTCAAACAAGAATAAGCTCTGGAGTATATGCTAAAACATAATGTAAATAGACATACAAAACATAGGAACATAAATACATTATTCATATCAAAGAGTCAGCTGGTTTACAATATTCACATGATAGTCACTCTCCAACAAAAAACAAAAGAGTACAGGTTTTACCAAGGCAGGAAAGATGGGTAGCACAGGAAAGGTGACATTTTGGGGCAAGAGAAAGAAGCACAAAAGAGTTAAAGTTTTACCATGAGGGTGAATTTTGGTAGAAATGCATTGTTTAGTCATTTAACTTTTTTATAAGATACAAGAAAAATGTAATCAAACGGTCACTATAAGTGGCAAAGTTATCAAAGGTCACATTTATTGTTCTCCCTGATAAATGGTGTATTACACTGAAACACATGTCAAAATCTCCCATACTACATGATTATATCATTGAGTTTTGGCATCCCAAAACTGAGGCATTTTGGGATGCCTTCCAAATAATGGCATTTATGTCAAGTTCCTCGATGCAATACTCACTTTAGTCAGTCTCAGTTTCTTTCAGTTAGGCACATCCCACAAAACCCCCACAGCTCCAAATAAACATTAAATCAACCCAAAACTTAGCAGATTCTACTGAAAATAACACACCCAAACATCGTAAACCAAAACTTGAATCCTTTATGGGATGGAGGGAAAAGAAGACGAGAAGCACTCAGTGTAAACATCATCATCACCATCACCGCCACGGCCCCACCTTCATCCCAACTAGTTGGGATCAGTCGCATTAACTATGCAGGGCCAATTTATTGACAAAAATTAGTTCACTGAACAGTGGCAGTATTTTAACCAAATGGCATTTTGTGGCAATCTTTAAGGAATAATGATATGAGATTCTTAGAAACGTCATAATCATAGATCATTCCTACTAAGAGCTTGTCTTTCAACTTATTCTTTTTTACTTATTACTTATTCTTATTGGAATAAGATCTGATCAGAAACAACTTTATATATAACTACAACTAGATCACATCATATTAGAATTTAATCAAATCAAATCAAAACCAATCCGATAAGTTGAAGAGAACAATCCCTAACATGGAAAATAAGAGATGCTTGGTAAATGAAACAAACTAGAATTTGCATACATGCTCCTTGTCACTTTATACGGAATAAAGATATTAGATTCTCAGAAAATGTCATAAATCATACTACCTCCGTCCCATTTTATAACGCCTATTTTGGTTTACGATGTTTGACTGAAATTATTTTCAAACCATTTTATATGACAAATGGTATAAAATTAAAAAATAAAAATTACATATTAAAAAACTACATCAAAAGATCTACAAAACTAGTAGTGACAATAATATTTTATTTTATCAAATTGTTAACGAAAATAGAGAAAGAAAGTGAATGAAGTTTGACCCTGTGAATAGTAAACAAGCATTATAATTTGGAACGGAGGGAGTAGTTTATTTCAACTGGCACAGAAAATATCAAATATTGTGTAAATGCAAACCATATGTCACTAACTAATATGCAAATTTTCACTTGTAAAATTTGGATAGAAACTATATGCACTAAATCCTACCCTAGTATTAAATAACATGATTCATAAATAAATCCTTAGGAATAAAGATGAACACTATTGGATTAACAAAACTAAAACCACCATCCAACCCAACCTACGCTATCTACACGTAAATTCATATCATATTGGGTTTGACAAGTTTATGTTCACTCAAATGAAAACTGAATGAAACTTACTACTGTGATTTTCTAGAGATACATGGCAATTTTTTTAAAAGTATGATAAGCAAACCAAAGTGGCATGTCATAGCTTTTATATAAATGCTATATGTTCTTTCATTTAATCATCTTAATCTCAGAAAGTGTGAAAATGCAGAAAGTAGGAACCTTCTGTAAGGGATTCAAGATTCATAAAAGGAAATCTATTTTTTCTCTTTATAAATAGGGCCTTCATAGGGTATGAAATCTCGCCATCTTTAAGAGTAAATCTAAGCAGTATTCTCTTTGGTGTGATACTCAAGTTCTCAAGTGTCCGGATGATGTTGGTTGAATTAGGAGTTTGGAGTCTGTATCTACCGAATCGATAGAGAAAATACCATTACTTATTTACTTAAAGACCACTAAGAACATCAAAGCTCAATGTAAACTAGCTGTGGAATAGGTCATTATCAGTTTAAGACAAACAAAGATATAGTCATTCAAATGACTACATGTACACAAATCAAAGCCATGATCAGCAGAGAACATAAACATTGCAAATTGAATAAATCTAACAAGCAATTGAGAAGCACACTATATATTGGTCACAAGAAAGCGTAGCAAACTTCACATATGGCTTTCCATCAAGACAAGGTTCACAGACACAAACAAATTAACCAGGAATCTAATTTATATTTAAAAAGTCAGATAAAGTATCACTAGTCCACAATTGAAAAGCACTTACTCTCCAAGGATGCAAATCTAATACAGAAGAGCTCATCTTTCAGTTCACCATCTGCAAAATCTGTGGCATGCCACACACAAGTCTTGTCATTTCCAGCATGTTCCTGAATTGTCATTGATGGAATGACTGCAAATCACAAACAAAAAGACTTCTTTTAGATTACAACAAAAAAACTCGCGATCTTAACCTAATAAGTCCACTAAAAATAAAACAAAAGAAACACTAGAACATACTGAGATGATTAGCGCAAATCTTAAGCGTCTTTGCCTGGCGCATAACAAGACGGACTTTTCCCGTTTCCTTATGCTTCAAGAGCTTGACTGTTCCGGCGCCTCTCTCTTTCCACTGATTTCCTGCCTTATCAAACCGATAAAGCTTCGACTTCCTGCAAAGTAATCAAAAATCAAGGATCGGATCAGCTTCGAACGGCAGGAATAAAGCAGATCTAAACGGAACTGATAGATATCAGATCGATTAGTACAAGTCGATGATGGCGTCTTCGTCTTCCTCCCCGGTGGTGACAGCCACCTCTTCAAGCTTAACAATGGGAGCAATCTGTGCTCCAGTGTCTTCATCATCCGCTGCTGCCGCTTCCTCCTCCTCCTCCCTGCGCTCGTGCTCAGGCTCCGTGCTGGCCATGGATGGAATATAGTACTATATCCCCTGTATACGGCGATTCCGACTCAGATTTACAGAGCAAGTGACGAAATCAGGGATTGGTTAAAGGGGGCTGCTGCTGGTGAGTGGGCGGTTCTGATATTTACGGAGCGTCGACTAGAGATATTTTAATCGTGTTTGGTTGCTTTTCCTTTTAGTTTTGAAAAAATAATTTAGTCACTAAAATTTTATTTAAAATGTAAGTATTAACAAAAAACATTGTTTTCAAACAAGACTTACGGGGTGTATACAATTGGGAGTATTCAATAATATTCGAATTGTTAGTATTTCCAAAAATCGTTAAAAATAATGAGGTATTCAATAAAGATTTTAAAAAGTCTTAAAATGTCTTTAGGTATTCAATAATCAATGAATTTTAATACTCCATAGATTTTGTTGGATTCTCTCCCAAAATACTGCTTATCTCAAATCTCTTCTCAGAACATCAGATTTTTATGGACTTTTGGACTAAGCAATTGTGTAGACGACGTAGATCTAGTTTGCGGAGGGAGGGGCTGTTTCCGTTGGTTGGCCGTGACGGACCAGGCGTCGGTTGCTGTGTATCTGCCTTTCGTTACCGCTGGAGGAGGGCTGCTGGAGTGTCGTTATCTTTGGATGGTGACGATGTTGCCGGCGTGGAGAAATCCTTTAGATGGCTCAATAGAAATCCATGGAATGTCGCTCGAGGGAAGGCTGATGGAGTGCCGTTATCTTTGGATGGCTTAATTAAAATTTCATGGAATCTATGAAATTCATGTAAATCAATAGAAAAGTTGGACAAACTCTATATGGAGTGTATGGATTTTCTAATTTCATTAACCTTTTATAGTCTAAAAAATTTAATACAGTCTCAATTGAATACTCCCCTCTTAAATTAGATGAAATTCAATTTATTTAGATCAAATCAAATTTATTAAAATAAGATATACTCCGTATTAAATATAATTTCAATACACTGTCTAAAATCAAATGTGAAGTACTCCATAATAGTTACTATACGATTGAATCATATGGAGTATTACATCATTTAATACTTCTCCCGTCCAGAAATGATGTTCTTGGTTTAACTTTTCCTCATTTTTAAGAGGGCATGACTAAGGCTATAGATTGACCAAAATACCCTTGTTTAAATAATTTGGGAATGGGGTCTAAAGCTGGCCAAAATAATAAAGGGGAAAGCATTGTTTATAATTATAAGCGAAGTATGAGTTTGTTACATCAATTACACTTTACATCACCAAAAATCCAAAAAAAATCATTTTCCCTCCTAATCTTTCAATCACCCGCCCAAAACAAGATTTAAAACCCATTCAAAAGGGTTATTACAACAATTTAAAAAGCCTCAATCCTTTCCTTTTTCAGCAGCACCTTTCTTCATTCTCTTCTTCTTCATTTCCTTCTTCATTTTTCTTTTTTCCTCTCTAAATTCTAGTGCCTTGCATATATAAACCTTAATTAACTATGACATAAACACGAAGAAATTGAACAACACAATAAGGCAATTAATTAGTGATGCACTACTAACACATTCAAAACAAAATCTAAACGGTTCATTCTCAGCTCAGTATGGGCAGATCAACAAACTTGCTTCACAATCTAAAGTTTGTAGAAAAAACAATCAACAACATATGAGCCATTGCAAAGAAACAATTAGAGTAGGGGGTTGCCATTGATTTGAGGAGCATGATTGCAGGAAATAGTGGAAGGAAGAAGGTTGTCATGGATTTAAAAGGAGTTGCAGACACTCCCCTGAGGAAGAAGACTAATCTAAGAGCATTAGCATCAGCCATTGGGAAGCCTAAGTCAACCGTGCATGGGTGGGTAAAAAGAGATATGCTTAGGAGCCATTCTAATTCTATCAAACCATACTTAACAGATGGTAATAAGATTATAAGGTTGAGGTTCTGTTTAGATCAGGTATATCCTTACAGCATGGCCAACATCTCTAAGTTTAAGACTTTTAACAATGATTTTACACATTGATGAGAAATGGTTCTTTATGTCTAAAACTTTCTAAAGATTTTACCTCATTCCAGGCTAAAGTCATGTTCTTATGTACGGTTGGGAGCAGGTAAATAAAAAAGATTCATAGCTAAAGTCATGTTCTTGTGTATGGTTAGGAGACCACTTTTTGGGGTGAATGGAGAAGTGTTGTGGGATGGAAAAGTGAGAATATTTCATTTCGCAGAAAGACTGAAAGCCAAAAGGAAAAGCAAGAACTTGAAAAAATGGGTGGTGAAGGTGAAACCAATCACAAGTGTTACCAAACAAATCACAAAAGTTATGTTAAACAATAAAGTCATTCGAGCTATCCAAGAGAATTGGCTATCACAGTTATTTAAAGAAATCCACATTTAGCAAGATAATGCAAGGCCAGATATTTAAGGAATAGACTCAGGCTTTGTGGCAACAGGTAACACCAACGGATTTCACATCACTCTAGGTAACCAACCCTCTAACTCCCTAGACTTTTTTGTTAGATCTTGGATTTTTCAGAGCAATTCAGTCTTTAAAAGAGCAGTGTGCGCCAACCACAGTGACTGAATTATTAGAGGTAGTGAAAGGAGCATATAATGATCTAACTCCAGAAACCCTGAACAAGGTGCGGTTGACTTACTAGCAGGTATTAACTAAAGTTATGGAACTTCAAGGAGGCAACAACTACAAACTGCCGCATATGGGAAAAGACAGACTGGCCAAGACAGGGAACCTTCCTAATTGCTTGAGCATAGACCTAGACTTAATTCAGAAGATAACTACACTACTTCCAGAACAAAATGAGACTACCAATGCAGACATGGTTGAGTTCAACACTGAGGAGGGAGAGGAGTACCTATGTTCAGAGCTGAACTGAGTCCAATGTTGTAAGCATGTTTGTTTTTTGGGTTTTGTTTTTTGTAAGTGGCTACCACATTTAGTTTTTAGGTGTTCCTTTTTGTAAGTAGTAGCCACATTGGTAGATTGGTTTTATGTTTTTGCACTTGGTAATACACTGCCATATATGTACTCACATCAAAGTAACTACACACTATCTCCTCTTAATGTAACTTTGTTTATACAAAAATAGTAGCCAACATATGGTTTTCATAAGCTCTTTTCCCACATCATCATTAGTGATTTTGAAATATTTGGTACTCGGAGTCATTCCATTATTACAAAATGCTCATCACAGTATACATTATTTCTCAAACAATGCAACTTGCAGTCCTCACAGAAAGTGGCCAAAGATGGAATACATGCACATACACACATTGACAATGAATGATATAGTGAAACTAGGGGTGTATACGAATCGAATCGAAGCAAATATATCACTATTGAATTCGTATTCGATTAAATTGATATGTATTCGAATTCGGATTCGTATATAATTCGAATTTTAAAAAACATTCGTATTTGATTCGATAGATATTTGACGTATTTGAATTCGTATTCGAATTTGAAAATATTAGTAATTTTTTTTAAAAATAGATTTCTTAAAGACATTAAATTATTATTTTATAATAATGTAAAATGTAGTAAAAATATGTTAGAATATACATAAATTTATTTATAAATTATAATATTCGAATATATATAAATTTATATGTACACAAATATTTAATATATTAAAATATGTACACAAATATTTAATATATTAGAATATATATATAAATTTATTTATAAATTATAATATTCGAATAATTTGAATAATAAACGAATCGAATCTATTAATATCTGTATTCGAATTCGAAAATAATTCGAATCTGAAATATGATTTGTATTCGGATTCAAATTCGAATATAACGAATACGAATCATCCTTTTCGAATACGAATCACGAATCGAATACATTTTATTTGATTTGTATGCACCCCTAAGTGAAACCATTAATGTGTATATGATTTGTTACTCAGAGCCATTTCAGGAATTCAAAAATCTCATCACAGTACTTTCTTCTTCTCAGACAATGCAATTAGCAGTCATCATAGAAGTTTGCCTAGAAATATCTTGGAGGCAGAGGCAGGAAACATGCACATACACACATTAAACAATCAAAGCTTTAGAAAGACCATAGAGGTGTGTCTGGTTTGGTACTCAGAGGCATTTTATAATTACAAAATGTTAATCCCAGTACACACTTAATTAAAAGATTCATAACAACAAGCTCATCATAGTACACACTTAACATAATCATCATTAAACCTAGGCAATTAAGTTCACAGAGGCATCAATCTATAACATGCACATACACACATACTCTGGTTAACAAAATCAAAGGTTTACAATTCATTGCATAATAAAACCAGAAAGATTTATAGTGAAAGGAAAGTAACTTCTATGCTTTTACTTTAAAGCCCAAAGTTTGGATTTAAGGTGAGCATTAATATGTTCAGCATATCAATGTGGAAGTGCATGTTTGAGTTCATCCATGGAGAAGTCTAATTTTCAATAATTTCATACCCCTCCATATCATCACTGTCAGATTTTGCATCATAACTGCCATCTTCATCGCTCACAACAAGAATAACACATTCTTCCTCAGCCTCAAGGTCGATAACCACATTCTTCTCTTTGACCGGGGCAATATCGGCATCATCTTCGCTGTGGATGACGATGACCTCGTCCTCCACCTATGCGTCAGAGATGAATGTTTCGCCAATCACCTTGCAATGCTCACCTCCCCCGTCTTAAAACCCCGTCTCCAGAATATATGAATTGTAAAGAAAGTCATGTGATTCCATGAAATGGGGCGGAGATCTACAGATCTTGGAGAGGAAGGAGAGTATCTAGGGGTTGGGAAAGTAGAAGATGGAGCGACATATTCAAAGTAGATGCGAGAGTGAACGCGAGAGGTTGGGGGGTGGGTAGATAGGAAGGGTGAACGTGAGGATATTAAATGAGAGGGGTATTTTAAGGAGATTTGTACTTTAAAAGTAGAATGATAATATCATTTTCGGACGAAAAAAAAGTAGAATTGGAATGTTATTTTCGGACGAAGGGAGTATTACATTACATTACTATTATAATGTAACATGAGAAAGCTTACTCAAGTGTGATTTCCAACATAGACGAGTGCATTCACACATACTTTTAAAAATTATTCTATTTTTCACTCTTACAAGTAATAACTCGTGTGTGTAAACTTTGGGTCGTCGTTAGGGATATAACAATAACTTAAAGATTTTAAAATTTTGAGGTAAATTCTCCTTTTTATTATTATTTTTAAATTTTTTAAAACTTAAAATTATGTAATTAAAAATATAACATTACGTTCTTGAAGATACTTGTGTGAGTCCACATTGTAAAAAGTACTCTCTCTGTCCCATAATTTTCTTCTCTTAAGGAAAGAGTTGTGAGGTTGATATTGTTTATGGAGTATTTGCTTTCTAAACAGAAAAAAACTACACCATTACATTCAAAAGAAGCGGTTGTCCTTTTGAATTCTCCCAAAATTTCTTCATGTTCATGTTAAAGGAAGGAATTCTGTTTTGATATTATATGTTTCCTTTTTAAATAAACATCAAGAATACAATTTTACTTTCTAAATAAGTGTGTGTCAACTGTCAAGTATTCCTTCCGTTCTGTTTTAAATTGCACGTTTTAACTTTTGGCATATTTAAGGAAGAAAAAAATAGAGTTGATTTTTCGAAATTGTCATTACTTTTTAGGAGGGGTGACGATGAATGAGAAGATAAAGTGGAGAAGAGTGACTTATTTTAGGAGTAGTTTAGGTATTTTACTTTTAAAAATTTACGATAACAAGTAACATGCAATTTATTTTGGGACAGAAAAAAAGACAAACATATAATTTAAAATGGGACAGAGGTAGTATGAGACAAGAGTATATTGTAAGAGTGTGTGACATTTATAACCTCTATGTTAAATACGACCCTTGCAAAGAAATGGTGACATCTGTTATTATTTGGCTTTTGTTAGTCGGACTTGTAAAACTCTTGCTGAATTTTATTAAACAGTCACAATGCGTAAAGATAAACAACAAAAAAAGGACTTCTCACTGTTAACATTACAATTGATTCAAAAAAATTTTTGAAGAGGAAATCAAAAAGGAATTGAGAGAATATTTTTCTTAATAGTTTAAGAGGAAACTAAGGTCCCATTTGGCATCAACGTCAAAGATTAGCGTTAGCATTTTGAAAAGACTATCTGTAGCTTTTAGCATTAACGTTTTCTGAATAAATTTACACTATTACTCCCTCCGTCTCGTTTTAAATCGCCTGTTTTGACTTTTAGACATATTTAAGAAAAAGAAAAAATAGAGTTGATTTTTTGAAATTGTCATTACTTTTTGGGAGGGATAACGATGAATGAAAAGATAAGGTGAATAAGAATGACTTATTTTAGGGATAGTTTAGGTATTTTATTTTTAAAAGTTTACGAAAACAACTAACATACAACTTATTTTGGAACGAAAAAAAAACAAACAAATAATTTAAAATGAGACAGAGAGAGTAATATTTTATCCAAAACACTAACACTAGTTGAAAACACTCTTCCCAAACAAGGCCTAAGAGGAAAAGAAAAGAAAATGCACCAAAGAGAATAAATTTCCTAGGAAAAAATCTATTTATTTTTCTTCCAGATTCCATGAACCAAAGATTGTCAAACACAGTTTTAGATGAAAGCTCGAGGATGGCAACATAGCACGACACTTACTGACTGATGCATATATTTTTTAAGTTCAACTTCGATACAAATATATGAACCAAACTTAATGCACTTTGGATAGAACAATCATAGAATCATAAAATAAAGTAATAAGCTCAAAATGATGTCTCCAAAACTTGAAAAGCATTGCATTGAACAAACACGCAGATTAAGCATTCGTTGCGTTTTATAATTAATGTTGGACGAAAACATGCACAATGGCAAGAAAGAAGCACAAATCAGCTCAACAGGTCATGCTATATCCTTGGAGGAGAGAATTTGAAACAAGTTAACTCGTAGGAAGAAACATTTCACTAAGAACAGTCAATTTGCAGCTTCCTCAATCGGGTCGGCTTGAGATGGCGATTCGGCCTTTTCATCTTTCATACCTGTACATGTGTGGAACGAAAGATATTAGGTGGAAATCTTGGAACATGTTAGGTTGAATCTTGTTTGGTTAAAAATTGTTGCAGTTAAAAGAACTAAGAACTATCCCTCAACTATCATGCAAAGTCATGAAACACTTTGAAATCAGTAACAAAGTTAGCAATTATCCATGGGAACAAATTTTGAAACCAGTTCAAAAACTTGAGAAACACATCTTCTAGAACTGACTGACTTTCGATAACCACTTGGAGAACCGAAAAAATACATTCCTTAAGAAACACTTCGTGAAAGCAGTGTTTAGCCCTGCTAATGGCTTGTCTTTGGAGTAGATAAGATGCACAAGCTATACAAGTACTACGTATTGAATCCCGCCCCTATTTCCAAATATAATGCATTGTTTGAATCAAGATGCTTTTGCAATATCACTGACACCCAATTACTTTCCAAACGGTTTTAAATATAGTTGTACCTTTCTTTTTCTTCCCCCCGCCTTTCTTCTTGGTCTTTATAGGAAGGGCTAGCCATGCCTTTATCTCAGGTTCATTGTCAATTTCCTTTGTTGTGATCAGCTCCTGGAGAGGATGTGACGTGATCCTATCAGATCCATTGGGCATTAACAGAACCGTGAACTTTATGTGTGCAACCAAATCACCTGTGCACCAAAGCAAAAACCCGATTGAAGCATGCATTCTCATACACCAAAACTAGAATAAACTAAGGAGCTTAATGGAGTGCACGTTCTGCTTAATTGGAATAACAGTGTAATGTCAAGTGCAGACCAGGTTTTTCATGTAGAACAGGATATGGCTGTAAAAGATCATGGTTAACACATTCAAGCAGTCCTAAACGGGCCCTCTTTTCTTCCAAATCCCTATCAATTACAGAGTAGCAGTTTAGTACAATGATGATTATAAACACATGAAATAAACTTTTTTTTAAAATAAGGGAAAACCTGGCATTGAAGGGCATGATTGGGAACTTCTGATTGATTTCACTAAAGATGAATCTTGACGCTTTCATCTTCAAGCTATAGGTTTTATCAACAGCCCTCTTATATATAGTTGTTTGCTTCTCATCTATCAGCTTTGGCTGCAAGAGTTAAATCCCAAACATTATACTCCCCATGGTGAAAAGGTAAAACATTCCTTGTTTGGGTCCCAAATAAAAGTTCCACTTTCTTCAAGGAAATAATTGTGTTGTTCAAATTATTTTTATCTCCTCTGCATAAATTTTAACTCCAAAACATCACCTTTCTTAATAACCATGTCAATTCCAATAGGGAACATTGTTTTAGACAAGAAGTATGTAACTTAAGTTGAATATAAAAAAGAAATCAACTAAAAAGAACATATAAAAAGATTTCAAGCCAACCTTTCCTTCACCCGTGCTTGTCACAATATCAATAGAATAAACCTCATTTTCTTCAAATTCTGCATCATCAACTCTAGTTTCAGGGTTGGATACACTCAGCACAACTTTGTTTGCATCAATAACAAATTGTTTCATTTGATGACTCAAAACACCCTCAACAATCTTGCAATCATAAGCTGCAGCAACCTTCTGAATGGCTTCTGTTACATCAGAGTTCTGAAAATAACCAAGGAAAACTAGATTAGGGGCAAAGTAATGGCAGCATATGTCTGGTAAGACAATATGTTGCATGGAGAAGAATATTTGACATGAATGTGCATGTCTAAATTATTTATATAGAGAATACTTGTACTTAAAAAACTGGACATGAAATGAACCATCATCGGTGCAGTGTGCAGATGAATTATCTAGATAGAAATAGAGGCAAACGCATTGTCCATCTACTGTACCAAGGATTACCTTCTTTCCAGGTCGCACAAGCCTCAAAGCAACTTCAGCAGCAGTATTTGCTGCAGCAATAACATCAGCAGCTTTTCCAGTAACTGGTCCTTCCTGAAGCACATGTGTGTGTGCAACCACTGCTATAAAACCATCTATGTGACACCCCATATCACTGCAACCAACAAGAACACCTTACCATGAACACTGCATATCATAGTGCAATAAACTGAGCATATAGCCAGGTTTATTTGGTAAACCCTTCTGACTATTGCTTAGGCATTCTTACACACATTCAGAGTAATTGAGAAATGAGAACATTGACAAAAGGCTTAAATGGCTACTTACATTTTCAACATATCACCATCTTCCAACACTTTCTCATCAGAGGACAAAGGAGAGTAATGGCAAACAGTATTATTAACCGAAATGCACGTCGGAAAAGCAACACCCCTTTCAATCTTCTTCTTCACATTCTTATACATGTTTCCAGTTTGCCTGTACCATAATCAGTTATTCAATACCGGATACACGTATCGAAGACGACATACTCACGTCCAATACTTGTAAAATTTAAGTCAGGTAGAAAACATACTCTCTAATGAAGGCATCACCCTTTTCACACAAATCAACAATCCTGGATTTCGGCTTGCAATCCGACAAGACCAGTTGCAAGGCCTCTACAAAAAACACATCAATCATTTCTTTTAAATACCCATTTTAAGGCTCAACAATCCAACATTTCAAATCAATCCTTCAAACCCATTTTTTAAAAAAAAACAGCATCTACACTTCATGCAGCATACAAAAATAAGAACAAAGGAACGAGCAGACGGAGGAAGAAAGATATACTAACTGTTTACGATTTCGGCGGCGCTCTTGTACTTGGTGACGACCTCGGGACTAGTGAGATCCAACTCCTTCTTCTCCTCTCTCTCGTCATCCGACATCCTTGGACAAACTCACGCGGCTGCTGGGAAACGGAGATAAGAAGAGTCAGTGTACGGAAATCACCAAAAAGAAAAAGAGCAGAATTCACAGAGCGGTATGGAAACGGAGATACGAAGATTCAATGTACGGTAACCGGAAAAAAGATACGGGGGATAATCGACGGCGAAGGAGAACCTGGAAATGAGACTGGAAGGGTGGTTGGAAAACCGCCGGTGGAAGAAGGGGTTGAGCTAGGGTTTGTTTTTGGGGAAGAGAAGATGAAATATAAAGCGTGGCGTGGGGTTTTCTAATTTCTATTTAAGACACTGCGGTGCGGGGGGGTTTGGATTGCAATCAAAACCTGGGAAGCGGACCGCATGGCACTTGGCTGCGGGCCCAACCACTCTTACTATGAAGTGTACGTGGACTTCCTTAGCGCCTCCTTGCAACTTTTTTTTTTTAAAATTAAAATAAAACTTAGCAAGTTTGATTTTAAAATATTTTTCATAAACAAGTCTTATGTATACTAAATGGATTGCATCATATATATGGTGTATATTGAATTTCTTTTCGCTTGCAATGCACGCTAATATGGTACATTTTTCTCTGACTATATTTGTAGATTTAACATTCTCAGTGGTTAAGTAAAATGACACAAACTGCTTCAAATGTTATACATAGGAAAAAATGTCTTGGTGTGTCATCTATAGAATGGTTGTGGACCGTTCCAATATGAACTGAAACCGGAACCTTATGTCGAACTTGTGGGGCGAGTATGAGGTAGGGGTACCGAAAACCGATGGCAGGTCGGGAAATGGGTACCAGAATAGGCCAGGACTGGTACCGGTCTGATTTTGCTAGATCATTACTCATATTATGTTGTTTAATTTATAACAAGATTATGGAAGTACTCTTTTTCTAAAATTCAGAGTGTAATAGAGGATTATATAACCATGATACCGGTAGACTTGACTCCCCTTGCAACTTATATCGTAAATTTTGTAGTACTTATCTTTGAGTACAACATAGTTGTATCATATAAGACTACTGAAAGGAAGCGCATGACGATTAGGAACAAAGAAAGCACGATGATGACGACAATCAAGGCTGCCTGGATTGAGGATGAACATGGCTGTATCAATTAGCTAGGGATGCAAAGGAACCCATAATTGCATTGATCAAGGATAAACTAGAAAATTAGATGAACTTAACCTAATAAGGATATGATGTGCGAATCTGATGAGCGGAGCGTGACAAAACTTTAGTGGTGAATCCATAAAACCGAAGGACTGGGGACAAGAATTGGATGGGAGTCCAAGTGTAGCCTCCCTGAATTTTTTTCTCGGAAGATAATATGAAACGATGAATATAGTGTTAAATTTTGTTTCAATATTGTAAATTATTATGCATAATTTATACTTAAGTAAATTTATAATACTAATAGAAGTATGATTAACTTTTCCATTACTATTCTAATTCGCCAAAATGCATTATATAAGCCTTCGACCCTTATGTTTTAGACTCAATGTTATTAAAATCGGACCGGCGGGTCCAATCAGTTAAACTGTGACCCAGTCATCATCCTGATCCAATTCATAGTTAAAATCCATTATTGTTTTGACCGGTTCTAAATCAGGAGAATCAGCAAACAGGGTGACCTGGATTTTATATGTGTGTGTGTGTTCTTTAGATTGTTTAGATAATAAGGAGCAACCTAAAAACACTCAATTACTAAAAATAGAGATTACTCGTTATGCATCACAATTTACTCTGTAATTATTTTATAAAATTTTAAATTAGTTCGAAGTTATAAATAATTAGTATTATTTATTTTTATAAAAAAAAGTATTAATAACCTATACTTAAAATATTATTTTCGTCTTAAAAATATCAATTATAATTTAATAAACTACATTTTTATGTTTTTTCAAGATTTTTATTCAAATTAATATAAGTTTAAAAATGTCAGTAGTAAATAAGAACAGATTATGTAGTCTTTACTTTTTTTAAAATAAGCATTTGTTAGACATATACTATTAACCTATAATAATGAAAATAATAGAATAAAAAACAAACAGTGTAAAATAGTATATGCACAACAAAACTAAAAACTATATGTAAATATAAATTAAAATCAAATTCTTTTTTTACTAAAATTATCTAACAATATAATATAAATATTATTATTTAATTATAGTTGATCGGATTGTTATCTCCCAGATTAACCGGTTCGACAGGTTAGCTCTTGACCCACTCCTTCGTCCGAGTCGATATCTGATCCGATTTTCAGAACATTCATTTTAGTTTGTTGTTGTTGTCGATTGCGAGTAAAGAAAATTAAAGTTGTTTCTTCAAAAACTTTAGTTTTAAACCATCTTCCATGGTTTATTCTAGTAGGTAGATGATTGTGGTGCTACTCTTGATTCTTTTACAATTTTTTTGTAATTTCTTTCTATAATTTGTTAAATTTGGTTGTACTAATTTTAATTGTTTTTATACCTTTCTACAAATTGCAAACTTTCATTTAGAACAACAATCACACGATACTTTTCATATGCAACAAGAAATGAAAAGGTATTGATAAAGTGGGTAGAAATGTATCAAGAATAAGGCAAAAAAGTAGAGAAATTAAGGTTTCAAATTAAGAATTGTAGTTACAATATATTATATTGTATGATGAATATTATTAAATTTTATGTTAGTTTTTAAGTTGGCACTCGTTCATTTACTAGACGAATGATCTCAAATCATAGCAAACAATTACAAACATTATTACTCAAATCGACTAGACGAATGATCTCAAATCATAGTAAACAATTACAAACATTACTCAAATTGGCTCAAAATCATTCATTTGCGACCTATAAAAGGCGTACAAAACTAAATTTTATTTTATGAGGTTATAATTTGTGGAATACTAAGTACATTGTCAAATACTTAATTCAATCAAAAGCTCAAACTTATAACTATAGGCCTAAAAAGATATTTATAATTTAACACGTCTCTTCACTAGTGTGGTTGCTCCTAACATTACACGCGAAAGCTTATTTTTAAAAAAAAAATATATATGAGTAGCAATAATTTCAAACTCTAGACCTCTTGGCTAACAAAATTGTGATGTCATATCTAAAATTAATTCAACCCAAAAATTCAAGCTTACAGTTGTAGTCCAAGAAAGAGATTTATATTCTCGTGAATAACATGTATAAAACTTATCATCCATGAGAAATTCAAAGTTAAGACAATAAAAATGGTAATAATTTACTTTTTTTTTACAAACGAAGAACTCGTATAAAAGAATATGGCAAAACCACCCCAAAACTTAGGCACCAAATAATTAGATCTCCTAAACTAGTCTTCTTCTTCTTCATCTTCTTGACCAACTCACTTCCAGTCACAGAAGTGTCCTCAAAGTTTCAGCAAAGGGCAAGAAGTCTTTGTAAAAGTCAGTCAGCAGTGACAGAAGTGTTATTCCTTATTCTAAGACAGTCAAGAGCAAGACTGTCCCTACAAAAAATGCCCCAATGAAATTAGCATCACACTCACGTCGTCAAAAGAGCCTCTGGAAACCGAAAGATCGACGAGTCTTTTGCAGCATGACGCCATTTGGGGCTTGTTGGAGCCAATGCAGAAAGGCCGGGCAACGTCTACTGCTTCTTGTGTGCTTACCTGTTGTGCAAATTCAAACCAGACATTTGAGTTGTGAAGTTTGTGTGAGGCCTAAAATTAGACAATTTTTCGTTCTAAACAGATGAAATTAAATGTTGTCGTGAAAACATTGGAACTACCTTGTCCCATAAGCCATCTGACGCTAGGATCAAGAACTCGAGTTCAGAATGAAGTGGGACTACCCTAGTTTCCGGTTCGGCAATCACCCATTGCTTGAGTGACCGATCTCCGATGGCTCTGGAAACCGCAAGAGATCCCTGGATTCTCCACACCCCACAATTACAATCTACAAAACCACCCTGCAATGGATCACCAAATTGTCAGCATATATTCAGTTTTTCAGTGCCTGTTTTTTTGGCAACAACTTCAACGTTAAGCTTTAGAGTTTTGAAAAAGACTATGTAACTGCAGCGTTTGGCTTTAGCGTTTTAAGAGTTAATCTGCACCATCATAAAATAATCCAAATCCGACTGAGACGAATAATACAGGAGTTATGCTGTGCTTACCGAAGCCTCAATTCTTTCCATTTCGTCAGCCCTTGAAGCCCGATGATCAGAAGTTAGTGCCTCTGCAACTCCTCCTCTGCTAACAACAGCTCGACAATCCCCGACATTGGAAACCACCATATTTTGGTCCCTGATCAAAGCTGTAACACAACAAGATCCACCTCGTAGTTCTTGCTCCAAGAATTCGGTATCTGTTTTCAGGTAACCATTCTTCACAGCCTCCTTAATATCCTCATCAATACTCTTTTCAACCTCACCCAGGATGTTCTTCGTCAAGTTTTGTGATGCATACTCCGCTGCTCTTGCTCCTCCATGGCCGTCAAATACACCAAAAACAGCCTGAAAGTTTTTATAGCCCATGGTTAGTTCTTCCAAATTGCTCCCTACATGGCTCCATCCCATTTTAAACCACATTACCCTTTTGGTTTATCTCATATACCCCTATATTATTATCACACATTTTAGGTTCAAAGATCTCACTTTGTGTGAAGAAACTAATTCAACCAAAAGCTTAATAAACTTGTAGTCGTAGGTTCAGAAAAGGTTTTATATTCTAACATGCCTTCACATCCAGGCATGGTCGCTTCGAGACCTTGCAAGTGAAACCTTATTTAAAAAAAACGGAATAGATGTAAATTTCAAAGAGTAATTTACTTAAATAGGACTAAAACATAATGACTTTCCAAATATAGGACCATATGTTTTTATTTCCCAATGTAGGACTTTTGGTCATTATGAATTAGTCATTATTCAACTAAATGTCTATCATTACTGGACATTATTCCTCCCACAAGGTCATTATTAAGTCCTTATTAAGTCCTATTATTAAGTTTAAGTCCTAGATTAGGAAAGTCATTATGTTTTAGTCCTATTTAGTACAAATTTTACAATTTCAAACTCATGCCCTCTTAAATAAAGTTTTTATATTCTAACTTATATCAAATCTTGAAGATTTGAGTTTAACTTATAAGACCAACTATTATCAAATGATAAAGTAACTCCAAACTAATCTAACCACTCAAAGAATTACTCCTATTTGAAATGTAGCCGGGCATACCTGTTTAGAATCTCCATGAAGATCGACCATGGCGGAGTATCGATCTTCCATGGCCCGTCCTCTCCTCCCGCGCTTACAGCACACCGAGTATCCATCTCCCTCAAACTCCACCAGATCTTCCATAACAGAAGGCGTGGCCGGAGCATCCCCAAATCCAACCGGAACATTCGGAATATCCAAACTGGCCGGCCGCTTTCGCTTCCAGAGCGCCGGTGAAGCCGAGGAGGCCAAAGCAGAACAATCAGAGGAGGAAGAAGAAGCTCGAATCAATCCACATAGCGGCGGCTTCGCGATCCGGAGATTCCGAAACGGCGGTGACGACGGAGAAGAAGCGGACGGCGAGGGGGAGAGGGCGCGAGTCAGCGTCTCCTCCGCGGCGGCGGCGGCGGCTTTGCATGTGAGAGTGGAAGAGATTGAAACTCTGGACGGCGAGAATACCGGCGAGCTAATCGCAACGGTACAAGACATCTGTCGGTTTCGGGTCTAACGTTCGGATTTCAGGGACTAACGGGAAAACAGACCGATTTTGCTTCTTTGCTTTTGGGAGACGTTAAATTGGGAATGAATGAATGAACCTGAAGAAAAAGAAAGGGTTTTTTTTTTATTTATATAGGAGAAGAAAACAGAGGCATTAAGTTTTCAACAGGTGGAGTCAAAGTGGGCCATAGGTCCAGCTTTCGAGTCGCGTGGCGCCGTGTTGGGGTTTTAGTTATTTCCATGCAATTGGCATTGGAATTTGAGTAGTTCACCTCTTGCTTGTTTGTCTCCTTTTTGGTTTCTTGATATTAATGATTTAGGTCTTCTTTTTTTATTGAAATTTTATGAAACTCGAAAGAGTTGAAAGAAGTTGAAAAAATGATAGAAGAATTTAAATATTGAAAAGTAACTCAATTAAATGATCATTTAAATAAATACTCCGTATGTTAAAAAGTTTTAATTTGGATAAAAAGAATTCATCATTGTCCATGTTTGAGGTGTTATGTTACAAGTTTGGATATGTAATGTTATTTTATATTAATCATAAAAAAATACTTTTTTGAGTCGTTGTTAGAAGAAACTGGAAGGAACTGAAAAAAGTTAGATTAAACTAGAAAGAAGTTAATTTTTCCAACCCAAAAGAACATGGTCTTATTTGGAAAGAAAATTCAGCCATACTAGATCCATAGTAACCATTGTACTTAAAATATACCCCAAAAGTTTATAGTTATATTTTATGAATAATTGCTTATATTGATACAAAATCTCATCACAACTGTTTGATTGGTTTTTGAGGCCTAATACCTCCGGTGCCCCCCTGTGGTTTGGAAAATTCGCACCAATACCCCCTCTGTTTTCAAAACTTATTTCTAAAGTCCCTTTGGTTTCAAAACGTTGCACCCACACCCCCTCTGATCATTTTCTGGCCATTTTCCAGCGAAGAGGGGGCATTGGTGCATAATTTCTAAACTATACGGGGCACTCATGTTCATTTCTCATTTTTCGTTTATTATTTGTGTTTTTCCTTCTTTTTCCTTTTCCTAGATTATTTTTTTTAAAATTCCGTTTCAATTTTTTATAATGTTTTAATTTTTTTTTAAAATTCTGTGTTTGAAATAATAAAAAAAATTAACATACATTACATCTATCTCAAATTAAATATTTTTCACTTTTTCTTACATAGAACAATTTTTGGAAAGTTCAAAAAGAAAACCCAAAATAAAAATATGGAAAAACAAAATGAAAAAAATTAAAATACGAAAAAAAGAGTCTTCTACAAAAAACAATATTGGAACACGCCTAAAAATATCCTTAAAATTGAGATGTCCAAAAAGGATAATCATTTTTATTTTTGTATTATTTTGTTTCTTATTTTATTCATCATTTTTTAGAAGTTCTAAAAAATTACCTTTTTTCAGAAAAAACAAAAATTGTTAATTTGAGACGTGCCGATGCATTATATGTTAATTTTTTCAAACAAAAATAACTTTAAATTTTAAGAACATTATAAAAGTAATTGTAAAATAACCTTTATTAATAAATGAAACAAATAAAGGAAAAAAATGGGGAAAAAAGAGAGAAATAAAAAATCAGCACTGCCCCCCTTCTTCGCCGGAAAAATGTCCGGAAAATGTTCAGAGGGGGCACGGGTGCAGCGTTTTGAAATCACAAGGACTTTAGAAATAAGTTTTGAAAACATGGGGGATATTGCTGCCTATTTTGCAAACCACGGGGGGTACTGACGCTATTTGGCCTGGTTTTTGAGTTTGGCCGGCCTAAGTGTGTGCCAAGGTGTCAATATTTTTATTTTTAAGTATGCATATAATATTTCTTAATAAAAATTTAAAAATATATATCATTCTTAAATATAGCTATTACGATATTTAATTATAATGCTAAAATTTTGTTATTTGTATTATTATAATATTATTTTTTGTTTTAAATAAAATAGTTTATAATTTTATAGCTATTATAATAATATAGCTATATTTTAAGTTCCGTATTTAATTATGAAATGTTTTTGGAAACGGCCCTACTTTTTAAGTTCCGTATTACACTTTAATGCTCTATTTTAATAGATATTTTAATTTATTTAATTAAAAAGGTTTTTTATTAAGTACTTTTTAAAAAAATCTAAAAAAAACATTTCATATTTGTTTTTATGTTTCTACATTGAAATAGTTCATATTGTGTATTCATTTTAAGGTTGCATATTTTTTTTATTCATTTTCTATTTGAATGGTACAAAGTAAAAAGTCTAAAATATATTTAATTGATCAAAATAATTAAAAAAATATGTATTTTTTTCGGTCCAATCGGTCCGGACCGGTTCGGTCCTAAATATTTCGGTCCAGTCCGGTCCAAACCCGAGTAGATTTAGATCCGGTCTTCGGTCCTTGAATTTACTCATTTCGGTCTTCGGTCCGGTCCGGGTCGGTCCGGTTCGGTCCGGTCTTAGACCGATGAACAACCCTAATAGTAGATACTCCGTATATAAAAATATGATGTACACCTAACATAGTTCTTCCAAATTTCTTATTCGTTTTCATTTTTTGACTATGAGTCTGATTTTTATCTTCCCTCGTTTTCTGTCGATGATCGTTATGTAGTTGAAAGATAAAGAATACTCTAAAGATATAAAATTCGAATTTGATTCTTGTCAACTATAATGTTCTTTATCTCCAATCAAAATTTAATCTATCTTCAATCAGAAAAAAGGATACTTTTCCTCTTAAATACTCCCTCCGTTCAACAAAATCCTTCCGATTTTGACTTTGTGGAAAAATAAGGAAAGTGCAAATTTGGTTGACTTTCCAATTTTGCCCCTGATGTGATGGGAAAAAGTAAAATGTGATAGTTTAGTTATTACTGAAAAAGTATGATGTGATATATATGGTATGAAAAAGTAAGGGTAAAAGTGGTTTTTTAATAGAAAGTGAAAGTGTTTTGTGGAAAGCAAAAAAACAAAAAAGGAAACTTTTGTGGAAGGGGAGTAAAAGACTAACAAGAAACACCTAGAAACATCAAGACTTGCAGAGTGAATATATACGGAGAATTTCCTCCACCGCCTTCCTCGCACAATCGTGGAAATTGAAATCGGTATACAGGAATCGAGGGAGGAAGAAAGAGGAAGGATGTTCTTCTTCTTCGCGGGAGCGATAGAGCAGCAAGTAAAACAGGTGCTCAAGAGCGGCGCCGGAAGGTGCATAGCCTGCGGATCCCGCGCCGATCTCGTCGATTACGAGAAGGTTCTCAAGCTCTTCTTCGTCCCCGTTCGGAGACGGCCCGGCGACAAACCAGCCCTGTACTGCGACAACTGCAAGCTCTTCTTCCCCCAAACCCTAGCTCCGCCGCCGCCGCCGCTCTCCAAGCTTCCGGACGCTCTGAGCTGTCGCTCCTGCGGCCGGGAGGCTGAGGCCGATTTCCGATTCTGCCCCTACTGCGGCGCCGAGATGTGAAATTGGTCTCTCTGTTTAATCATTTCATGAATCTGCTGCTTAAAGCATGAAAAACGATTTGATCAAATATTTGCATATGATCATATTATGCTATTTCTGTCGTCCCAAAACGAAGTTCTTGTCTGAGTGTTTTTTTTAAAGTTTGTATATACACTCTTACTTTGTCAAAATTCTAAAGCTTCAAGATGATAGTATTAAGGATTTTTGGAAGTGATTTTTAAATCTATATTTTTGGAAACATTTAGAATATATAATATTTTTGGTATAGTTGCAAGAGTTTTCATTGTCATCTAGAACTAATATTTTAACTCTATCTTTGTTTTCCCTCATAAAATAGCAACATAAAATTGATCATGAGTAAACACCGAGATGGTTAAAAATAATTCAGCATGGTTAAAAATAATTCAGCAAATGACAATGTTTGACCTTGACTTTTGTTAATAGCCATAGCAAAATATAAAACTATTGGGAATTGTAAAGTTGAAGATGAGAGTATTAAGGATCAATGAAGCTAGGAGAAGACTTCAATGAGCACTTATATTGTGGATGCACCCTTCCCCATCAAAGATTGATGAAACAGATAGAAAATGATCCCAGCTTCCTCATTATTCAAATTTTATGATGTCATGTTTGAAAATATTTGATCAATTTTTAAACATATAATATAAACTCAAAAATTAAATTATGTGCACTTGATAATAATGTAAATATAGTGAGAAATGAGGTCATGATTTTGATGATGATCGAATTCTCATTTAGAGTATGTATAGTTTTGATGTCGAGAGTGAAGATATGAGGCTTAGGAAGAGGAGAGGTGTGTATGGTGCATAAATCTTTTTCTAATGATCTCTCTCTCTCTCTATATATATATACGGAATGTGTGTGTATATATATATATATATATATATATATATATATATATATATATATATATATATATATATATAGGGAAAATCCTAATCAAGTCGTAATGATAAATACATTCATCGAATAACTATTAATTAAATATAAAGTATTTATTAGATCAATAATCAAATAATTAGATAAATTATACTTTCTTCGTGCTAATTTAAATTGCTTGTTTTGGTTTACGATGTTTGACTGAAGTTATTTTTAAATCATTTTATATAAAAAATGGTATAGAATTAAAGAATAAAGAAAAGAAATTACATATTTAAAAACTACATTAAAAAATCTATAAAACTAGTGATGACATAATTATATTATTTTCTCAAATAACTAATGAAAATAAAAAAAATGAATAAAGTTTGATTCTGTAAATAGTAAACATGTAATTTAATTTGAGATGAATGAGTAATTCAAACCAAATAATAAAACCGTGTTTTACATTCATCCATTTGGTTGAGCAATTCTGAATTTGGAACTCAAATTTGATCCAAATTACATGTTTGAAAATCTAAAATATCTAGATCAAATTTGATCCCGACAAAAGTTCAATTACGAATATCTATACTCTCGTATAGATTATTAGTACAAAGTATTATACACAAGCATGAGAATGCTTGTGATCTAATGCTTCTTTTATATATTCTTCTTGTGTCAATGTTATTAAGATAAGAATGTGTAAATTA